GCCCCCCAGCCCCAGGCAAGGCGGGCGGCTCGCCCTCCCCACCGGGACCCCCGGCCAGGGCCCCAGCCCCCAAGTCCCCAGCCCCCAAGCAGTCCAAGACGCAGAAGTCGCCCGTCCGCATCCCCTTCATGCAGAAGCCCAGCAGGAAGGTGCTGCCGGGCCGGGGGGCCATGCCGGTGCTGGAGGAGCAGGTGGATGGTGGCAAGGTGCGGGGCGGCGGGCCGGGGGGCAGCCGGCTCAACCTGGTGCGGATGTCATCTGCCCGTTCCAGTGGGAGCGACTCGGACCGCTCCGGCTTCCTGCGCCAGCTCACCTTCATCAAGGAATCCTCCAGCCTGCTGCTGCGGCACCGCACCGAGCTCTCCCCGGCACAGCCGGCGGCCTCGCTGCCTCGACGCGCCTCCCCGCAGCGCAGCCGTGCCGCCCTCCCGGCCGTCTTCCTCTGCTCCTCCCGCTGCGAGGAGCTCAAGGCAGCCAAGCCAGCAGCCCCCAGCCCACGGCCCCTCACGCCCAGGGCCCAGCCTGGCAGCAAAGTCCCCACCGGTGCCAAGCCGCCGCGGAGGACCAGCTCCGAGAGCCCGTCCCGGCTGCCGGTGAAGACCAGCATCCCCACACCCGAGCCCTTCAAGAGGTACTCATCCTCACCCAACATCAGTGTGGCGCGGAGGACGGGCAGCCCTTCCTCCGTCCTCTCTGCCCGCTCTGAGGCTTCGGCACGGCGGCGGCAGACCGAGGTGGTGCCCAGCGGGCAGCCGGCAAAGCCACCGGTGGTGGTGATGAAGGGCACGTGGCGGAGGATTCGGGACGAAGACATCCCCCACATCCTCAAGAGCACGCTGCCCTCCTCCGCCCTGCCGCTGGCGGGTGCTGGCGAGGAGGAGCGCCCCGGCACCCCCGGCCCCAGGAAGACCAGCGACGCCGTGGTGCAGACCGAGGACTTCTCCACCACCAAGACCAACTCCAGCACCTCTCCCACGCTGGAGACCCGCGAGGGGCCCCTGCACACCCGCGCCGCCTGCGACGGCGAAGCCCCGGCCCCCGCCAAGGCCGCCCTGCCCATCTCCTTCGGCCACGAGGCGCCGGCTGGGACCTTCCCTGCCAGCCGGCACGGCTCCCCAAGCAGAGCCGCCCGCGTCACCCCCTTCAACTACGTCCCCAGCCCCATGGCGGTGACGGCGGTGGCCGACAAGGCGGTGGAGAAAATCCAGGCTTGAGCAGCTGCGGCAGGTGAAGCCCCAGCAAGGGTCCCGCGACACCCCCTGCCCCACGGGAGCTGGCCAGGACTGTGCTGGGGGGGACGGCGATGCAGGACAGCGGGGGACCGGCGAGTCACCTCAGCCCGCTGCCTGCCCCAGCTGGGGTCTTGCTGTACCGGAGCACCACGGTTCCCAGTGCCAAGGAGCAGGCGGAGCCAGGGGACCCGCTGGGTGCTGGGGCCGGGGCTGATGCCCCAAACCGAGGTGCGTCTTGGTGGCCATCTCCTCCCGCTGATGGACACCCCAGGACAAGGCGAGCAGGAGCCATGTCCCCATGTCCCCCCATCCCGCTTGCCCGCCTCGGGCAGAGGCTGAACCAGGGCCTGATCCTGCACGCTGGGAAGACAGCACGCCGCGCCCCAACGCCAGGTCTCCGCTGCATGCTTCAGCTCGTCTTGGCACCAACGCCCGGCCCTGCCAGCAATCACAGCTCATTTATTAACGAGGGGAGGGAACACAGGACTGGATCAAGGCAGGGAGAGGCTTTGTTGGGGGGGGAGTGCGTGGGGAGAGAGGGCTGGGACCCCCCGTTGTTGCTGCTGGAGGCTCCTAATTAAGGTGCCTGGCTGATTGCTAACGGGTAACCCGCAGCCGTGGTGCTGGCACTGGTTCAAGGCGGCGTTGGGTGGAAAAGCTGCAGGAGGAGCTGGGCAGGGGCTCGCTGGTGGGCGGCCGGGGTCCCGACGGGCTCGTCGCGGGGCCTGCTCGCAGGGTCGTGTCACTGGGCTGGGGAGCTGCCCTGGGAGGGGACGGGGTGCTGAGCTGGCACCGGGGTGCCCAACCCCTGGGGAAGGGTCTGGGGCCCCTCACCCCCATCCACAGCCCCCCAGCCTCCCACCCCGGGGTGGAAGAGCCCTGTCCCGGCTTGCAGCCAGGATCCTGGCACGTCCCCGCATGCCGTGGACACGAGTCCATCCAGGACTGGATTACGCCCACAAGCACGGGAGCTCCCAGCCCCAAAGCACCGGGGACGCCCCCGCTCCTGCTGCCAGTCGGCCCCGCGTGCCGTGGCGGGGCGTGCAGGAAGATCCTTGGCCCTGGGGGAGCGGGATGGGCTGCAGAGGGACCCCCCGATCCAGGTGCTCCCCAACCCCGTGGGTGCTCCCCGCCCCCGTGGGTGCCTCCCGGTCCTCCCACCCCACCGCTCGCTGCCTGCTTTGGATGGGGTGACCTGTGAGCCCCCCACCTACCAGTGCCGTGGGGGTGCTGCAGGGACAGACACGGGGCGATGGGGACGTGCAGGGGACACAGGGATACACACGGGGCTGTGGGACTCTGGGGAGTCGCACCGGGGCCATGGGGATGTGCGGTGGGGCCACAGGGGTACGCACTGAGGCCAGGGAGACACCAGGGCTGCGGGGACATGCATGGGGTCCCCAGGGACGTGCACCGGGGTCGTGGGGATGTGCACACCCCGATGCCCGCTGGCGACCTCTGCTCCGGCAGCGGCTGGGAGGCTGCAGCCAGCAGCCAACACAGTGGGACCCGGGACTGAAGAAAAGGGGGCAAAGTCCCCAGGGGCAGCATGTGTCCCCGCTCCCGAGTGCCGTAACCGAGCATAGGATGTGCCAGGAGGCCCAGCTCGGTTACGGCACTCGGCTGCGGTTCAAACCCCACCACCCAGCCCCGCTCTCGCCCCTCTCTGCTCCACACACGCCCATCGGCTTCAGCCCTCTGCGGACAATCCCGCCGGGTTTCGCGGTGCCCTGCTTCCCCCATCGCTGTATGTATGTACTAAGGATGTTATTTTACCGGGACTCTGGACAGTATTAAGAATTAAAAGCCAACCTGTGTAAATAGGAGGGGGTGGTCTGTCTGTCCCGCGTGGCCGGGCTGGGGGCAGCTGCGGCCCCTCCGCAGCGTTTGCTGGATCCATTTCTTGTGCTTCACAGCCGAGGTGGCGACGGGCGGCTTGAAAGGGTCGGCAAGTTTCTTGCTGGTGAAGGACTGCACGCCGGCCACCCCTGCCCGATTCCCGCACACCAAGGGGCTCCCGGAGTCACCCTGGGTGGAGGTGACAGTGGGGAACGGACGCCGACCGGGGGCCAGGGACCCATCATGGCCGGGGGGGCACCTCGCCTCTCTGCTCGGGGCGAGCATCCTCCCCAGAGCACCCACACCCAGGAAAGGAGGCTCAGGGGGGATGGAGCTTTGCAGCCAGTTGGTCCCCTTGCAAAGCCCTTCGCATCCCCCCAGCTCCTCACCTGGGAGGGTGCCGAGCCGCTGCGGCGTCCCTGGAAGCAGATCATGGTGGAGGTGATGTCGCCGTGCCAGAAGCGGCTGTTGTTGCACATCCGCGTGTCCAGCACCGTGACCTCCAGCTCCTGCAGCGTGGGCGAGAGCCTTCCGTGCTCGCGGATCCCCCAGCCCGCCATGCTGCACGCCGCCCCTGCCGCCGGCTCCCGCCTCCGCACCCTGATGAGCTGCCGGGTCCTGCTCAGCTTCACCGTCTCCCTCAGCTGCGGGCAGGGCGACGGGCAGCGTCAGACCCCCACCACGGCCGGGGGCTGGCAGGGAGCACCCCGCCGCCGCGGGTGGGCGGCCGAGGGGAAGCACCGAGCTGGTGCAGCACCCATGGGAGTGGGAAGATGTCACCGAGCTGTGAAAGTGCTCGGAGGTGTGAAGAGGAAATGTCACCCAGCCCCTCACCTCGGCTGCAAGCACGGCTGTACCGGTGCAGCACGAACCCGCTCGGCCCCCTCCCCGGCAGCGCTTCCTGGCACCGCCAACTGTCAGGCTCCTCCAGCCCCACGGCAAACCCTTCCCCGTGGCCGGCGCAAGCCCTACCTGGAGCAGGAGAAGGTCGTTTTCCAAGGTCTGGTGGTTGTAGTTGGGGTGGGGACAGGCCACCCGGATGGGCACGGTCTGCGTGGCCGCCCCGCGGTCCGACAAGTTGTGCAGCCCCACCACCACCTTCCCAGCGGCCGCCATCCTGCCCCGCGGTGGGAGCCGGTGTTGGTGGGAGCCCAGTGCCGGCCACAGCCCGGTGCCAGCCACGCAGAGCCCCGCCAAGACCCCTGTCCCTGCGCCGGGCAGGATGCGGCCACTCTGGACTCACCTCCGATGGAAGCAGTGGGCGGCCGTCAGCACCCACTGCTTGTGCAGCAGCGCTCCCCCGCAGATGTGAACCCCCCCGAACTGGATGGACACCATGTAGGGCCTGGAGTGGGGTCTGGCCTCGTGTCCCCCGATGACTGATGGCTGGAGCCAACCCCACGCTGCCGGGGAGAGGAGAGCCTGTCCTGCTCCTGCCACCGCCGCCGGTCGGCTGCCCCACCGAGAGGGAAAGGCTGGGGGGCCCCAACCCGCACCCCGTCTCCCCAGCGCATCCAGCCACTCCAC